GGGCAGTTTTGTGTCAGCTACAGGTAGTGACACTGATTTGAGAGAGTAAGTGATCAAATTTGGTATTCGTTTCTTGGAGTTTTACAGACGTATACGCGGATTGGACTAAACTTTCAATTTACCATTACGCTTGCTTTATAGCCTACAACAAAAGGAAACCCAAGTGATCAAATTACCACCAGTTCCTGAGAATGATCCTACATTCGGATATAAGAAACTGAACGTGGTTAATGGCATGCCAAGGAAATCAACAATAGAGATGAAAAAGCCATTACCAAATCCCGTTCCAATGGAAGATGATAATGCAAGTGCTGAGAAGGGTATTTGGTCACGGCTCTGGGGTTGGGGCTGATTTTAAGCCATATATCATGTGGCAGAAATATCGCCGGACGTTAATAGACGTAGTAGTATAAAAAAAGTATTATCTTAATTTACTCTTTTTGAATATATGCGTTTGACTGAAAATTACTTGTAGTTTATTTAAAATGTCAAATAGTCTTAATTATTATTGAGAAAAACAAATTCCGTGTCAACATTGTTGTGAATGAATTCACAATACGCTATACTGTATTATTTTGTAGTTTTTCCCTCAGAAAAACATTATTATTCCTTCTCTCCCGTATAGATGTTACAATCTTTTTTCTTTTTTTGCAAACACATACCTTTTTCTGAGAAGCGATAACAAACCAAATGATTACATTAATCTGAGATTCGGGAAGCTGTAATAATAGAATATTAATATGGGATGATTCCAATCTTTTATAACGGCTACATTTTCAAGATTGAATTTACAATTGATAAATTTTAGACTTGCGGGTCATTGGCTATACCTTAGAAAAATACGAGAAAACAGTTTGGGATATTCACTCGCTGGCATACACGCTAAACTATGCTCAAAAAATAATTCGCGTCCACTGATTTAATTTACTTTAAAATGCACATTTTGTTGAGGAAATAACACGTCCAACCTATAAAAAATTTACTGACAGCATAGCGAATGTAGTATGTGGACAAAGACCTACCAATTCGTTTATTATAAACGTTGCTCTTCCCAACTTATGCTTTTATTCTTTCTGACCTGCTCCTAAACAAATCTTGTAAATGAATACACTAGGTTTCACAAATGATACGCTCCACTGTATATAATACAGTAATTCTGATTTACTAAAGATGCACAATCTGATACAGTCAGATAGTTTGGTTCATTATTAATAAATAATCTATTTCGGTAAAAGCTTAAAATGATGATTAATTCGCGGAACAAAATAGTGAACCAGTGATTAATAACCGGTAAATAGTCATCAGTAACCATCTCCAACCAGAGGGATTACACTCTCATTTGTTCCTTCCCCTTATTCCCGACAGCTGCAACAACAAACCAGTCCAGAATCTCCACCAGAATAGCACAATACCGATAGGTATCCAACATATTCTACCAACTAAAGATCTCATCTCTGCCGGTCTCTGTTGGGACGATACTTCAATAGTACCGGTTGGTCTAACACTGCCAACATTCTTGGGAAGTAATGGCAATAGACTCTTGATTTCACTGTCAGGAATGGTGACAGCAAAATACCATGTCCTCGATGTTTCCTGTGTCACTGATTCGTCGGCTTCTTGGATAGTATGAGTGAACGAAAGAACGTTCACTAATAGATTAACCGCAGCTCTCATGAAATCGGGCCCATTCTGCGTTAACCTGTCATCTAAAAATGTCCATGACACTAAATTGTGCTTGCCCTGTTGCAATTCGAATACTTGTCTCAATCCTTTAATAAATGGTGCCGCTCCCACGTTATCTTTAAATACTCTTACAAACGAAGTTACTTCACTTCTCCTATGCGCTACAGTATACACTGCGGGCTTACTGTTCAATAGTCTGTTTAATTCTTCTTCCAATTCAGCTGCTTTCTTACTATGCCAAGCAGATCTTACTTGTCTCTTTATTTTTTCATATTTTGAATAATCTTCGGAATGTACCAGCACTCCATTGACGAATCCTAAAGTCTGCAGTATTGGTTCGACATCAGTTACGGAAACGTTCGAATCGAGAAGAGAGAAGTTAAGAGTGATAACACCGTTAGATTGAGTCGGAAATTCTATCAACGTTATTATAGAGCCGTAGAGAGGGTTATTGGTCGAATAGAAATCGGCGAGGAGAGAAGACCAGCGTTGAAGATGAAGTTCTTCATCGGTAGATATGGACGACATTATAAAGAGAATTAGCAGCAAGCACTAAGAAAAGCAAAGAATGTAAATGAGTTAATATTCAGAATTTTATATAATTTATTGCGAATGTGTAACATTATCGCATGTGATTGTCAAAAAACTCGTCATCTTACATGGGGCATGCTGCAACAAAACAAGACAAAGTGAACATTTCATAAATGAGAGGCTGATTGTGATGGCTGTAAAATTGACTAGTGTGACTGATGACGTTTTGAAAAGTAATAATGGTGCTCATTCATAACTTACAGACTTGTTAATTTTAATGCTCACTTTATCATACCAGAATGTGATAAATATAAACCATAATGTGAT